ACCTCTTTCCATCGAAAGAAAATAACTAATAGAGTAAAGGATAGGCACTGCATCCTACTTTCTAACCAACCTAATCCTAGCAGATAAGTATATAGATCCTGCAAAAAAGAATATCATTTGCATGGTGTCGTCTGTCCCACACCCACTAGTGCTCTAACCTGATGATAGAGCTCAAAATTTCAGAGATTCATACATCCTTTGGAGACCTTTAAAATTTTCATGGGTTTTCTCGAGGCAGTTCAAACCAGCTCTTATTTCACAAAAGAAATGAGGGCTCATTTCATCCTTCCAACAAAGACACCACATAAGAAGTCAAACATCAAGGGGCCCTCTGAAAAGGTTCGTACTGCAACCCTAACACTTTTAATTCATGCTTAGTTGGAGTGAGACTTGGTCTAGCTGGAGTGAATAATTTTTACCTTCAAAAAGAAGAAAATCATGCAGTTTCATTTTAAAGGGAGTTATGTGAAGCAATTTAAGAATCGGAAGTGAGGAAACATGAGAACCTAGACGATTGCTACGGGAGGAAGCGTCGTTCGTACAATGCATATCTCAAAAGCCAATAGCCAACTCTTTGAGGATCAAGATCCCAACCTTTTGGGAATCGTGCCCCCAATCATTTGGGTCTGTGCTAGAAATTACTGAGGAACAGGTTTCTTATGACAAGGTTCTATAATATCCTTAACCAAGAATCCCTTAAGACTGGAATCAATGTATTGGGTGCCCTTAACTAGGGTCCCTACTTTTAGAATCGAGGCCCTCAAGTGCCCTAAACAAGGGCTCTCCAAGTCAGTATTCCCTTAGCATTGGAATCAAGGCCTTGTCTGCCCTAAACAAGGGTTCCCCTAGCATTGAAATCTATGTATTGAGTGCCCTTTATCAAGGCTCCCCACTAGTATTTGAATCAAGGTCCTCGTGTGCCCATAACAGGCCTAAGTATTAGAATAAAGAAAGTACAATTACTTTCATTGAATAAAGAAAGTACAATTACTTGATTAAACGATAATAAATTTTTAAAAATAATTTTATTTTGGGTTCTCCAATTAGAATCCAGCTTGCCGATCGATACTTATCTGCAAAAGACAATAGTATGGTACTATGTTAATAACTTAATAACTCTAGACATTTGCATCGGAATATCGATTCCATGTTATAGAAGTTTTGATCTCTATGCTGGTCAAATCATGGTTCGGTGCCTAGGGCTTGACACTATGAAATATGGATTCCAAATAACTTGGGAATCAAGATTCCTAAATACTGGGGACCTAGAATCTTAAATTACAGAAATGACATTTGATGAAGATACCTTGTACAGATCACCAAAGCAAGATTCCAGAGCAGAATCACCACTTGGGGTGGAAGATTCCAGTAATCATGGGGAGTACAACCTATTTCTCTAGCATGCAAACATTCTACGAGTATTTAGGTGATTCGTCAATGGTTAAGGAAACTGTTATAAACCGTATATAAGGTATTGGGCAAATCAATATATTATCTTCCAATCCCTCTTAAACAACTAAAGAAAACTAATCTCCAAATTACACCAATGGAGCTTAATAGCAACAGGTCAGCTAGGGTTTTGGTTCAACTGGTGACAATGCATTAAGTTCACATCTCTCTTGTGCTAACCAAGTTCACCTTCCTTCCCTCAACCCCTTGCCCACCTACCAATACAGAAGAAAAACAAAATAAATAAATAAATAAACAAAGGATCTGAATGCCAACCACTTTTTTGCTTGATCCCAGTTGGTCATGATGTTCTCGAGAAGAAAAATTAAACTAGGTTGTGTAGATGAGAAAATTGCAAAGCAAACAACAAATACAATTCAAGCCCTGAAAATGGGAGATATGCACCCTATGGGCTTATGTTTTGTTTTTTCAGTTTCATCAAGCAATTCAGCTTTATTGTTCCTAAGAAAAGAGAAATTTAAGATACACTTAAATCAATTTTACTCACAGAATAAGAAACATCACAAGGATTTATGGGCTTCCCAATGAAATTGTTCCCACCATAAGCAAAAAGCAACCATTCTCTACAAGAATAATAATATTCAGCCACCACCAGCACCACTATTAGTGATAATAATAATAATAATTATTTATTATTAGTATTAGTAGTAGTAGTACTACTACTACTACAACTAATCACCACCACCACAACTATCATCATCATCATAATAATAATAATAATAATAATAATAATAATAATAATAATAATAATAATAAGAATAATCATCACAATAATTATAAAGTTAAAAGTTGAACTATTTAAGCGGCTGAATGATCCATTGGAATTGGGGATGGGTGTAGGTCAGTGATGTTTTCTCTCTTTGTAGGAGAGGGTAGCTTGTAGTGGGGCAAAAATTCATTTCCTTTCACTTGAACTTCTATTCCTAGTCTGGTTTGAGACTAATGCGGAGTTCAACTGTCTTGTTTGCTCCAAGTTTCCATCTTTGCGTACTCAACACAATGAGATCAAATAGATTGAATAGTGCCTCAACTCATCTCACACTCCCCTCAAGGATGAATACAACTATTACTAGACATATTTATCAAATCACACCTAAAAGTTGAACTATTAAACATTTGATCACAAGTATGATTTGATAAATTTCAGAACCAATAATGATGTTTCATTTGATGGCTATTTGAAATTTGATCAAAATAATGATAGGCTATTTTTAATTGCAACAAAAAACAAGGATGCGATATTAAATTATTCAACTCCTAGGTGTGATTTGATAAATTTCTATAGTAAAAAAATAGGTTCATCCCTAAGAGGAATGTCAGATGAGTTGAGGCACTGTTCAATCCATTTCATCTCATTGCATCGATATCCAGAGATGAAAGCTCATGGAATAAACAAGACAATGTAACTCCTTATGGGTCTCAAACTAGACTATGGATAGTTCAAGCGAAAGGAAATTAATATTTTTAGCCCCAATACAAACTACACTCTCCTACAAAGGGAAACAACACCACTGGAATACAGCCATTCCCAGTTCCAACGGATCATTTGGTCCCTTGTACAGTCAACGAAGAGATACAAGTGACCATCACAATTGCAGCCAATATCATGAAATTTGCTTGACCTAAATAGACCCACTGGTTTGTGCATGGCTGTGAGAGCACTCAACCAAGCATATCCTCTAGAGCCTATGTGGCATCTGCTTGAGGAAATCCAATTTAAGGTCCAGCTTATAAGAGTTTTCAAGAGCTGCACAAATGTTTGGACGACCATGGAGGAATCTCAACAAATTATTTAGGGACTACAAAGCATGAAAACTAAGCCTTCCAACTTCTCCTTTTATATGCTTTTGGAACGAGGACTGTTAAGCTTGTAAGAATCTGTCTCTAATCTCTCTCTTAGACTCCATATATATTTCACCCTAAATAATCTTGTCAACAACAGTAATTTTTCCTAGCCTTCTGATTAGTTTTCCATCAAATTGCCTTGTCAGTGGTCTGTACCTGTCTTCAGCAGTATAAAGTTCAAACCCCATATGGCAAGTAAGATTTCAAATTCCTCCTTCGCCAACTTTCTTGAACGAGGGAGTTTAGCCTTATTGATGGACTTCTCTTCAGTCTCTAATTCTCCACGGTTTCGTGGTGGTCAGGATACTTTGTGGTGGGGGTAATCAACTTGAAGGGCTGTGCCCACCTTTTCTTTGCTGCGGGAAAGGATCTAATGCCACCAGATACACTGCAGATGCTCGTCTTCTGCATCCATAAGAGCTAAACTTTAATATGATAAGTGGCTAGACAGAGGCCCCACCCAAGACTTAATCGAGGTCTGAAACATTACTCATTTCAGACTTGTGGATATCATATAGCCTCCACCTAAGTTTGTTGCTAAATGCTACTAAAGGTTAAACTGGTAAATGTTAGTCCTACAATGAGGGTGATGAGAAAAATTAGTCACCCTCAAAGCTTAATGATGAATGTCTGATCTGGGAATCAAAAACAAGTAGCACTTTCTCTATGCAATCAGCATGAAGGCAGTGAGAGGTCAGGTAAAATCATGAAGCATAGAAGCTGGTTCCCAAGAAAGACCTATGTTGTTAACTGGTGCCTACTAATGAAGTGCTTTGATACTAGGTAATGAGGATTTGTTTGCAAGTTGTGAACTAGCACTGGATGCATGGACTGGTCATTCTAATTTATTTCACAAATGCTCAATTCACTTTTAACTGAAGTATTATCAAGTTCGAGGAAAGCAATCATGGTATGAAGACTCGATCTTTTTATAAGGCTGACAAAGTTTCTTCATTTATGAACTTTGAACTATGTGCCCATAACCATTCGAGAAACAAGAACTGTGACATCAAAGCCAAATCATTTAATACTGATAGGGAAAAGCTGTCACAATCTAAAAGACCTATGCTACATTTTTTTTTAAGGAATATGTTGACTTATATCATATATAGGCTAAAGAATTGCATAAAAGACCTATGTTACATCATCATCATCATAGCCTTTCCCAATTAATTGGAGTCGGCTACACAAATCTTGGTTCGCCATTCTGCTCTATTAAACGTCATACCCTCAGTGAGGCCATAAGTCCCCATATCTTTTCAGACTACTTGCAACCACGTCCTCTTGGGCCTACCCCTTGCCCTTTTTAGTCCTTCTACTTAAAGTAACTCACACCTCCTAATGGGTGATGTACTTGGTCGGTGCCACACATGGCCAGCCCACCTAAATCTACTCTCTCTCATCTTCTTGCCTATTGGTGTCACACCTAAATTCTCTCAAATGGATTCATTTTGAATTTTATTCCTTCTTGTCTTGCCGCTCATCCATCTCAACATCCTCATCTCCTCTACACTCATTCTATGGGTATATTGTTTTTTATCCGCCCAACATTCTGCCCTATAGAGCAAAGCTGGTCTCACAGCTGTCCTATAGAACTTGCCCTTCAACTTCATTGGTATGTCGTGATCACATTAAATTTCAGTTGCAAATCTCCACTTCGCCCACCCAGCTCTAATTCTGTGTGCAACATCTTCCTCAATCTCTCCATTTTCCTCGATTATCAACTCAAGATATTGAAAGTATGGTCTTTTTTATATTTTATACTTCCTAGCCATCAATCTTAACTGCTTCCTTGTCTCTACTCCTTTTATTACTAAACTTGCATCCCATATAGTATGTCTTAGTCCGGCTAATTTTAAAACCTTTGGATTCTAGAGCATCCCTCCAAATTTCTAACTTTGTGTTGACGTCGTTTCCAGTCTCATTGATCAAAACCATGTCAATATGACCTGGATTCTAGACCTATGCTACATATTTACCTTAAATTTGAGTAGCACTCTAGTGTAGTGGCAAATTACTAACAGACAACGATGTCAATATGGCATGCAAGGGAAGGGTCATCGAATTACAGAGATATATTTTCCAAATTTTTATAGTTCCCCTATGAGCACGATTGCTAGCTCGGTGCCTTTGTTGATTATTTTCACATGTGTGAACCGCAGCGCACTAATAGTCTCTTACTCTGTTTATCAGCGTGATTCAGCAATAAAATGGTTTTGTTGGTTTTGCAACTAAGAATAAATATATTATGTTGAAACTATTGGCCTGGTAGTTTACTTTGTGGGATTCAATTGTGATGGGCGATGCAGCATGCCTTTATAAAAGTAAACACAATAAGCTGACTCCTTGATTCAAGTCTCCCACCTTCTTACATCCCAAATCTGTGCAGGAAATTTAACCATATTGTAGAGCCGTTTGGCAAGGGCATTGATCTCTATGTCCCATGGTGATTGGTTTTCTAGGACACCTTTATTGCTCTAGACATGTCATCAACCTGGCTAGCTTATTTGTGTTTTTCATGTCTCATTGGAGGATATATCCTTCACGGGAGTGTAAATTCTCTTTGATTAAATCAAATTTACTTAATGATTGAAAGAAAGGCATCCACTGTAGGATGGAAAGACCAGCATACCACTACCAACTTGCTTTCTTTCGAGTTGATAGGATATTGCCAAAAATGAATGATGCACTTATGACAAGTCAGTTGATGTAAGACCAAGGGGGCTAGGCTACACAAGTGGGAAATGCGAGATGGCACACAAAATATGAAGGCAACTGACTGTTGGGGGTATTAACATTTCCTAATTCGAATAGATTGAGGAATTTACAGTTTAATAGAGTAGGATTGAAGGCAAACTGATATGGAAGAGCTAGGTATGATCAAGGTGAAAATTATGGTCAGGTTTGGACGGCATTAAGGGAATGAGGCAAATTAGGGCTACTTTAGGGGATGAGTTTAGGGGTACAGGTGATAGGTTCGGGCAGGAGGTGGGCATGTTAATAAGGCTTGGCCATGGAGCAGAAATGGGGTGATGAATTTGGTTGAGGATATCATGGGCTTGGCCAGGATTGAGGAGGATGCAGCACCATATAGAAAGTTTATAGTTCGATTGAAAGCTCCCATGATGGACATAAGAAAGCTAAAGTGAGACTCAGCATTCATACCATTAGTGCCTGTAGTGCTTAAAAATATGATTCTAGGCTACACCCACACAAGGTAACATAAGCTCTAATCAAGTTTCTAGTAAATTAAATTTATCTTATGTAGCTAGCTGAAGCCCGAATATTTCAATTTCCACATTTAGATATCAGAAATCCACAATCTGGTGAACAAGCTACTTATGTGACGTAAAACATAGAGCTTCAAAATCTTGTCTGACCATGTCGTAACAATACCTGATTAGGTATCAAGCTGAGCATATAAGATCCTAATGGCTTCTTAATGACTAATGTGTAGTGTTTTCTTGTATTGGAGGAATAATGTGGAAAAGGAGGAAGTTTACATCGAAAAGGATGAGAATATTTTTTTATTGTAACTAGGAATGGAAGGATGATGGATGAAAAGGACTTAAATTCAATCTCAAAGTCAGGTGTTTGAACTATGTATCATACGAAAAATGCCTTGCATATACCATTAACAGAACTAGGGCAACCTCATCAAAGGATGGGATGCATGTCGATTAGGATTCAAAATTTCCAGGCAAAAAGCACAATCCCCATCACACTGCCATTCACCTAGTGAAACAACTATAATGAAAAGAAATGGAAAATAAATGGCGAAATGAGTTAGGAGTAGCTGTTAAACTTCAAATAAGTACATTCCAATTTTTCAAATAATGATAACCATCATAAGTATTTTTTGCAGCAATTTGCTAGTTGTTTCAGAGAATCCAAAATAATATTCTCATAAAAGCAAGATTCGAACTGGTGTTACGGGACTCACCCCAGTCCGAGTGAGTAACTCCGGCTCGCCCTATGAGTTGTGTGTACAACTCAGGGTACATAAAAGAATTTAAAATATCCAAAAAAATTGTAAAAAGTATGGGCATGTTGAATAAATTTTTTGTAGATATAATGGATATTTTTCATATAGATTGGTGACTAATTTTTTGGAATAATCCCTATTATTTCTTTTTTTGGATTTTTTATTTTTGAAATGTCCCCAACTATAAATCATTTTTTTAAAGCAAATTTTTTTTTTATACTATTTTAAGCATATTTGGACTTTTTAAGGTTGCTTTTGAGTTTATTTTACTTATAATGTCTTTATATTGTTTTTTTATTTTTTATTTTTCTAGGGCTTTTTGGCCTTGTACAGGACTCGGTCAAGTCCACGCAGTAACGTGCCGAGGCGATCTTCTAAACACTGATTACAACAAACAAGCAACTAAAAAGTTAGATGGGCCATCACTTTGATTACATCTTCTTGAGACAACTAATCAGAAAAACAAAATACAAAAAAAAATTACAAGAAATAAACACAAAATACAAAAAATTGAGGATCTGATAAGGCTTGTTACAGTGTTGAGACCCCCTATCCACTATCGGCACCGCTCAACATGCAGAGCCCATGTTCGCAGACACTTTTTTCATATTTCATCTCCACAAAAATCAGTAAAATTAATGTAAAAGATTATCAAAAGATAAAAGGTAAAGGACACGAAGAAAGAATCCATATTCCAAGAAACATGGCTTTCAACCTACAAACACATCTACAATCACGAAGCCACAATGATAACACAGGAACCAGGGTTTCCTTCATCTGTATAAATTTAATTTGCAGAATTATATCTGTTGGCCTTCATGAAGAAACCACCAAAAGGTCATGCATAGACAAAAATTACACATTTCATTCAAGAAATCGGGCCATTATTCAGTAATAACTCGATCAAAAACTACACTTTAAGAGAGTGAGAGAGAGGGGCAATTGGGTGCAGGGGGTCGTACCAGAATTTAGATGGAGAGATTCAAAGGAAGGAGAGGGAAAGCTCTCTCCCTTACTTCGAAAAAAAGGTAGAATTTCAATGGCAGTCTTCTCCTTGCTTCCTTTCTTCTTTCCTGTTCCCTTACTTTGCAGTGAAAGGTGAACGAGAGATTTCAGAGACCTCACGATCGGAAATCTTTCTCTCTCTTCTCCTCACACTCTCTCTCTTCTTCGCTCTCTCCTCACTCTTTCCCTCTCTATCAATCAATCAATCAACTGCACCGGCCTCTCTCTCTCTCCACCGAAAGGTCGCTGTTTGCCAGCCAAAGAGGTGACCTCTACAACGGGCCGCACGTCCTCCACAATGACCATTGCTGTTGCAATAAAATATCGTAAGTACCCTTAGTGATGAGTTAAGAGGATGAGGTTTCTATAAGGCCTAGGCTTTATAAATACAAAATAAAGTTTCACCTCGAATCCTCGTCCAAAAATCACTTTCAAAAAATGAAATATTCATGATGCCTCTAAAATTATTTTCGAGCGCCAGCAGTATAATTTGAAATTAAAAAAATGGTACAGGATGTATGGATATGCTTACTTATTTTTAGGACGAAATGAACGGTCTAGATAATTTGTATAATATACATTATTTTTAGAACTTGAAATCTTAATTTTTTTTCACATCCATAATATTCAAGTCGAGATGATCGATGTAAAGGTTTTCCAATGCTTGAAATTGTAATTTTTTATAAATTATGAGGTGGGGCTTTACTTACTTTGAGAGGGTTGCCGCCCTGTCAAACCATTTCCTAAAAAATCAAGATAATTTTATGTTTGCAATATATGGTCCAAAAATAAATAAAATGTTAAAATAAGGCTGAGGCCCTACGAGAAAAAAGTAAGGCACGTTTCAATCTCACCGGAAATTGTATTTGTGGTGTTGAAAAACCATCGAGTTGACATCGAACATTATGAATGTGAAAAAAGAATTTCAATACCTAAATGCATATTGTAACGTATTATCTAGAGTGTCTATTTTCAAGAGCTCATAAATTCCCAAATTGCAACATTTTTTTATCAGTAATTTCAAAGAAAATAAATTTTAAAGCCATCGTCTCCTCTCCCATGTAGAAAGAGTATTTTAGATAAGGTTTTGAAACAAGGTTTTTTTTTCATAAAGCCTATATCAAAAAAATAAAGGTAAAAGTTTATATAAGGTTGACACCATATACTATAGAATTAAGTTGCATTTCAAAAGTTATTAAGAAAAGGTTATTTTGATGTTGGAAAACCATATAATTGCAACATCGAGATATATGATTATGGAAGCAAAAAAAATAAAAATAAATTCAAGTACCAAAAATAATACATCTTACAACACATTATTTGGACGGTCTATTCTCAAGATTTTCATGCGTGTTTATAGATCTACTTGATTTGACCCTTTTTTTAGTTTAAAATTTTATAATTAGATATGAAAATAGATTCTTAGGCCATTCTAAAACATTTTGACACCAAAATTATATCTTATGACAAAGTTTGGAGGTGTGCCTTACTTTGATTATTTAAAGTGACGCCCAAAAAAAAATACCTAGTTCATAGGGAGAGAGAGTGAATGTGATAGACCTTTTATTTTATGATGGATGCAAAGAATCAATTGATATAATTTGTTAAATTATTTTGTTTATTAACATTTTTTTTAAATAAAAACAAAATTACACAACTTAACTGATTCAACCTATCGAGAGCTAGGTGGACAGGTTTGCAAAATATAGATTTTTGGAAAAGTATAGCAATAGACCTTGCACCTTTTATATAAGGAGATTACAATTAATATTGGTTATTGGATATATTATGCGACACACGTCAAGCTATTAAATTTTACATGTGACAACTATGGGTGATTGTAACTTTTTAATACAAATAGTACATGTTATGTAGCCTAAGATATGCCTAAAAATAGATGAGTCTAGCCAGATTTGTTTTGCATAATGAGTTTACATACCATAGAAAAATGTGTGAGTTCTTCATATTTTTAAAATAGGAAAATGTTTTGATAGGGTTGCATCCCTATCAAAACAAGTCTCATACCAAAACTCAGCAAAAATTGTAGTTTTGACATTGAAAGAACCTTCAAATCAATCATCTCAACCTTGACCATTAAAAACATAGGATTTCAAGGCCTGCAAATAGTATATATTATAACACATTATTTAGACCATCCATTTTGCCCTAGAAATAAGTGCTCACAGATCTGTAAGATCTATACAATTTTTTAGGCTTCATATTTCAATGGTAGTGTTGAAATTTGATTTTAGAGTCATTATAGAGGTTTTCGATACCCAAAATATTTTCCGAACAAGGATTTGAAGTAAGACTTTACTTTAAGCATTATAGATATTGTATCCTTGTACTTGCGATGGGGACCATTTTTCATACACTAGGTGATGTATGGTAGGCATGCACAGTATGGACACCAGAGTAAATGGTACATGTCTTGTGTAAACAGTTTGCAATTTTTAATTATGAAAAATTATTTCATGTGGCTTGGACCGCATTTCTACAATATGCGGTCCAGACGTGTAAAGCATTCGTCTTAAAGATGGATGCAATTAGGTTGTCCATCTAAAAACAAGTATAACTTACAGTCCATATGTTTTTTTAATATAATTATTATTTTAAATTTTATTTTATTTTTCATATTCATGATTTTTATGTTGGATATTATATATTTTTAAAAATTAAAATCAAATTATATTTAAAAAATATATTTATAATCAAACCCGCATTTCTACAATATGCGGGGCTGGCCGCATCGAAACTGGATCCTTTGCCATGTGGTCAAAAGGTGAGATGAATTTTTCCTCTTTCCTATTGCCATGTGTTCAAAAAGAGGAAAGTTGAGGTTCCATGTAGTATAGAATCTACGTGCTAAATATATCTGAGAATAAACCCTTTAGAAAAGGCAAAAAAAGATTATATGGGTGCATAGTCCTTGGATAAAAGCCTATCTAATATTAGGCGTTTAAGCGGGCCTGGCTTATTAAGCTACCAGGCCTGGAATGACTTGCCCAATGAGCTGGGCCCGGACTTAGCCCATGACGAAAAGGTCTAACCCGTTTATTCCATTTTGAATAAAAAATTAAATCCTATAATTAGGGTGGGCTGGACCTTATACTAAGGTCCAAGCCATGCGCTTTAAGCTAGCACACCTTAAACTAAAGCCCAGCAAGGCTTGACGGACCCTATGACAGGGCTTGGACTCGGCTAGGCCCAGCCGAGGTGCACCCTTATCTTGTAGTATATTTAAAAATATTTTTAAAATCCCAAAATTAAGGGATGTAACTTTTTCAACCTAGCAATCAACCTCAAAAACAAAAATGTTGATATGCATTTTATATACGTTTAGAACGGTAGCATCTGAAAATTGAACCGAGGTTTTCTGATTCTTGGATGGTCCGATCTAAATGTTTAGAAACTCACAACCCAATTTTGTTATTCTAAAAATGCTCTTATGGTGATTTTAAATTGCATCCTAAGTATTCTCATGAAGAGACAAAAAAACCTTCAAAATTTTTCCTATTAACAAATATAATTCGGGAAACAATTATGATTTTCACCTACCATGTTATTTGGCTAATGCTCCTCTATACGTTCCTCCATTATTGCACTACTCCATTCTATATGGGATAAGTAGGCAAGTATCATTTACTTTTTAGGACAATAGTCACAATCATTATTAATCATAAGATGTAAAATTAGATAATTGGTGATGTGCTATATTGAGAAGGTACAAAGTCCCAAATAATTCTCTAACTTTGTGACACTCCCAGTGCTGCCAAATTTTTCACCCAATAACTAAGTGCGACCTTGACCTTTCTTTACCAAAACTAAATGCTCTATAGCATTGTGACTTCTTTGTAATAATGGTAAATAGTCTTGTAGGATACAATTCCAATAAGGAAAAATAAACAAAGAAACAATTTGTTTTTAGCACAACGGGTCACAATCACTCTTGTTATTTAAATTCTAAATCAAGTGGTTATAAGCGTGTCCTTGACTAGACTCAATATTTAAAAAAAAAAAAAAAAGATCTCAAACTTTGTGACACACCTCAAGCTATCTAATTTTATATCTAATAACTAGAAGTGAATGTGACCTCCTTGTAACAATGATAAATGGTCTCACAGGATACAATCCCTAAAATTACTCACGAAAACATAGAAATCAATCAGCTTTGAGAATATAATGTCACCTCAATTTAAGTATACTTATATCAAATCTTTGTAAATAAGGATGTGGCATGGGTAATTTGAAAGCAAAGACTTCATTGCTAGAAATCCTCTTGAATTTAATTGTACAAGTATAAAATCTTTGTAAAGAAGCATAAGACATTAGTAATTTGAAAGCCAAGACTTCATTGCTAGATATCCTTGTAAAGAAGAGAAATGAGGTCGAAGTAGTAAAAACACTCAAAAACATGTGGTATTTTCACAGTACAATGTTGGCCAACTTTTAGAAAAATAATGGGTGCCAATGAAAAAGATAATCCATTCAAGGGCCCACCATAACCATAGGTGCTTGGATGGAAGTAAAAAGCCTGTACATACAGCCTCTACAATGGAAAAGGTTCCCCCATAAATTATTGGGCTTCAATGTGTAGAATAATAGATTCGCTTGCATAGTTGCTTTACTATCAATTCTGTCTTTTGGTTTGCCTATGGGACCATCCCTTGAAAAGGCATCCTGACAAAATTTATTAGTCTTTTATTTTTTATTTTCTTCTAAGATAAAGGTTCCTCCAATTATCAAGAAATGGTGGTGGTGCTTTGTTTTGGCTTGATGAGAAGTCAAGGACCCGACCCGATTCATTTTACATGGACCTAGACCAGGACCCAGACCCGACCAAGGTCAAAATTTTAAAAATAAAAAATTTAATTATATATTGTATAGAATATATTTTTTATATATTTTATATTGGGTTGGGTTGGGTCAACCGGGAGCAATAACCGACACAACCTAATAGGGTCCATGCGAGACCCAACCCGCCAGGTCCAAACATGGACCCGGACCTAGACCGGGGTCGGGTCAACCTGCCGAGCCCCTAGTCAAGATGGCAATAGTTTTTTTTTGGATAAATAGATGCCAATAGTTCGTTTTGTTTGTTCATGGTGCCTGTCTGCCCTTTGCCGGTGATGTGATTCCTTGTGATTGATAATAGAGTTGTCAATCAGATTGTTACTAGGAATGGGGGTAAATAGGATTGCCAAGATTAGCAACTCATAT